TTTTTTTTTTTTTTTTTGACTGCTGCCCCCACCCCTGGCTGGGCAAGAGGACTGCCCTCATGCAGCCCTGCAGTCTGGGCAGACAGGGCAGGTCCAGCCCTGCTTTTTTTTTTCCCCCCCACAGCCACAGCTGCCCAGCCCAGCTGGCCCCATCCCGTGGTAAATGGGTGCTATGAAGGGTGAGGGATGAGGCCACAGGGAGCAGAGCCAGGCCTGGCAGCAGCAGTGGCCTGCCCCTGCATGGGGCCGGGGCTAGGGCCAGGCTGACAGCGGGGCCAGGCCAGGCAGCAGTGGCAGCTCATGTGTCTGCCAGCCGCCCCAGGCAATCAGAGGTGTTGGGAACAGGGGTGGCAGCTATGATCTGCCTGCAAAATTGGAGCCTGGGGCCACAGCAAGGCCACAAAGTTTGACCCCAGACTTGAGTACACCCCTACTGATGTACTCCGTGATTTGATTACATCCCTACTGATAAGCATCTAGAGTATGGAGCCCTGACAGGGATATCAGCGGCAGGCTCCATCGCTGCTTGTACTATCCATGAATTTCCACTTCTTCTAGGGGCCCCATGGGCCAGAAGGCACAGTTCTGCTGGCCAGATCTGGCCTCCAGACCATGTTTGAACATGTGCGTAAACCAAAGACCCAAGCCCTTCTAGCGGTTAAGGGATGGAGGACAGCTCCACACCATCACCATGAGACTCCAGAAAGAACAATCAGGAACTGAATAATTTGTCTGGTGTGAAATTTCAAAGCCACTTTGTGTAAAACTGTTTAGTGCGTGACCCCAAGAGCCTCTATCAGGACGAAGTAGTAGATTGTTCAGATTATCAGTCAGCCTCTCTTTCCCTCAAAAAGAGCCTTTATCAAAAAAAAAAAAAAAATCAATGGGCTGAGACACAGCGTCAACATCTAACTACCACACCTTTTCCCCTCTTCAAGCGCCTGCACTTGCTGCACGGCTCAAGATCGCTCCAAGACTGATAGCTGTGCCAAGGGGTTTCGTTTCCCCTCTCTTCAGATCAACAAGACAAGCCTGCTGCTACGGCTAGGAATCCTTGCAGCGTGTGCCTTGAGGAAATCCTTGCAGCCTGGGAAATGCTGCCTGTTTCAATAGTGGAAAGGAAGGGCAGAGTGGGCTGCGGCCAGGGCTTCCCACGCAGTCCTTGGTGATCTAGTGGCTAGGATTCACTGCTGCCCCCACCAGGGCTCTCTGCTGCTTAGACATTCAGCACGAGAACAGGAAGGCACAGAGCAGACCAGCAGGCTGTCACCAATGTCATCACCCCCTGAAAAGGCCCAACTGAAGACATTTTGACTACGTCTCTTGATGGGTAATCCCATGAAGTCTAACAAGTGGCCCTACAGAGCACTTGTAAGAGCCAGCCAGTTTGGGGGACCACCTGGGACAATCCACATGGCAAGTCAACCCTGGAGCCACAGAGCGAGGAAACCATTTGTAAGCCTCACACCTCAAACAGATTCAATAACTGAAACACCACAATGACAAGTGCAGACTCTGGAACCTAGTGTACAGCTAAATTATAGAAGTGCTTAAGTGTGCATTCTAGCCATAAGCAGTAGCATGGGAAAATAGGATAAAGCCCGTTGGTCAAAGGCAGGTGCAAATAATTACCTTTTGGAAAACACAAATAGTAGTTTGAAGAAACAGCTGTAATAACTTGATGTTTTATCTTCTGATGAGAATTTAATTATGTAGAGCTAATTAGAATCCTGTTAAATTATAGTACATTTTTGTTGACTGAATATGTAAGGTCGTGCAACAAGTCTAATCACTTGCACACAGATCATTTTCAAGGGGCCTAGGCTAAGCTACAAAAGGTGGCTAAAGCAGGAGATGCGAAAAGCCCATTTCTAAGTGACCAAAGAAGGAACCTTTACCTTTACAGACATGACACCTGGCCTGGTCGGCAAAGGAAAGAAAGCAATTAATATGTCCAGCTGACTCAGATTAGATTAAACAGAGAACAAAAACTGCAAAAAAAAATTATTAGAAGCCTTAAATTAGATAATCCAAATATGCTACATCATATCTTGATCTTAAACATGGTAGCAGTAGCAGTAAATTATAAAACCAGAAGGTAGTGAACATAGTTTTATAACAGAGACTTGGGTAAAGCATCTTAGAGAAGGTGTAAACACAAAGCTGACTCGTCATTGAAAACCATCAGAGAATTAACAAGAAAAGAGGGCTGGCATGCAACGTTCCATGACGACAAGGGAAGAAAGTAAGAAATCCTCCCCCACAGAAGTCACACGGACAAGGACATAAATCTGAACTAACTGGGTGCGTCTACACGAGACACTAAAAATGCAATAGACCAATTCTATTGCACATGAGCACGTCACAGTGAAAGCTCTGCTAATGCACAGTAGAATAAGTCTACTGGGCACTGGCATCACATAAAAGACTTCCGCCAGTGCTACTGCACAGTAGCGGCAATAGCACATTAAATTAGTACCTGTTATTACAGGTACTAAATTTAAGCCGTCCTAATTACAGCATGTTAATGCACGTGTAGATGTGCCCACCAACAACTTTCTTAAGGGAACTAGGTTCAACCCGGTTCCAACAGTTTTCCGAAACAAACAAATTTAAATAAAACCGAATCACAGAACACTTATTAGAACATGCCATCTATAAATACAGGATA